CCCCAAAACCCCAAAACCCCAAAACCCCAAAACCCCGTGCCTTTCAGTACATATTGAAAAATTTCCAGTAAATTTGCCTAAAGCAGGCTCACATTTATCAGCCATGCTTTCCTTAAAGAGAGCTGAGCATGGTGTGGAGAACTATAGTGAGGCTGCTCTTAGCTCAAGCTATGATACGGACTTTCCTAAGGCTATCAATAGCATACTTCACTTTAATATTCTTTACTAAAAGTAATGCAACTTTAGGAATAAATTTAGCCATACAAAATGCAGACAACAGTCCAAAAAAAAAAGTACTAAAAATTCTGAAAATGGAAAGAAATTTGCCTGTAAACTTGTAAATGAATGATTGGTTGAGGTGCATCATTCCACTCTTTCTGCAACCATCAAACCGATCTTGGAAGCCCCTCAATTCATGTTTCAGAGAAACTTTCGCATAAAAGGCTTCCGATCGAGAGGACAGAGTTTGAATGGATGATACGAGAGATAGCAACTAGCTTACTCTCTTGAGTTGTCTGTGAGTGAAGTATAACAATTTCCATCACACTCAAACTCATCTGAGGAAACGCTGTAGTCAACATATTGACCGACTTCGTCCTCTTCAGAGGTGAAGTTTGAGAAAACTGGGCCATCCAGATGATCGTCTCTCATTGTTGATAAGCCAGTCTGTTGCCTGGCAGTATCAAGGAAACGATCAGCAGCTGTGGCTGCCTTTTCCTCAATCTTCACCACTGAGATATTTTCTGGAGATCTCCAGTCCTGGCTATAAATATCAACCAAATCTCTGTCTCCAGTCATCACCTCATTCATTTGTGGCTGTTCCTCTTGTATCCAGTTCTGGCCTGGAATTCGAGTAGGAATCGCATCTGAGCAAATAATCTTGTAAGCCTCATCATACCCAGTGTGAGCTCCTCCTGCTGGAGCAGATAATTGGAAATTCTTTCCAAATTCTGATTCGTCTTGGTCATCTCTCATTTGACAATCCATATGACTCTTGAATTGTCCCTGGGCATTTCTTGGGCGTAAGATGTTAAGCTCGCCAAGAAGGTCCCTCTGAGACATGTTAGGAAGGTTATGATCCCCGTTAAGGTTGATACAAGAAGTACCAAGGTTAACAGGAATATCATCATCAGAGTCTTCATCTCCAATATTCATATGTCTATAAGCATTACTAGGATGAATATACCTTATCGGTGTTGAGAAGAGTTCTTCTCCATTATAATCAGTATATTCTCCAGCCTGGTCTCTATCCTGGGCGAACCCTAGGATGCTCGCAAAAGTTTCATTTTGAGAGGGGGAAAAATCAATAGCTTCTTCCATTTTTGTTATTATTGTTATAAATTTATTATGAAAAGTATTCCCAATTAACTTATCAGACATTAAGATCCAATCAATTGTCAATATTTCAAAGGGGTTTTGGGGTTTTGGGGTTTTGGGGTTTTGGGG